AGATTTTAGGCCTAGACCGAAGTGAAATGAAGCCTGAATGCTGCCACTTCAGTTAGATTCAGGCTGATTCGGTCAGATTCGGGTCTACTTCGGACTTATTCGGCTAAAGCTTCGGCCTGAGCAAAGAAATATCTATATAAAAGTATTATTTTTACTTTTTAAATTTTAGTTTTTTTATTTTTATATTTAAATTTCTAATTTTTTATATAATCGGAAGTCTTCTCCCAAATCGGTTGAAGCACCAAATTATTTCATTTTTCTCAACAAACTGAAAAAGACTCCGAAACGAATATGATAACATTGATTTGAAGGGCAACCAACTCATTGTTATGTATATGTGACATTAGCAATGAAACAATCCCAGCCATCCATGCAAAGTAGACGGCTAGAAGATTGGGGATGTAGATAAAAGATATAGAGGTGGGAATCTATAGTAAGTTTTCTCAATAAACATGTAGCCGTCTAAAATAAGGTTAATTGGCCAGGCCAACATTTACCGGAGCCCAGCCAGGCCACAAAAATGTAGTTTTGGGCTTGACAAAGACACTCTCGGACTATGATATCAAGGCCCGAGACCGGACTAAAGTTCGTGCCATGCCATGCTGTACTGCATATAAATCAGAAAAGAAAGTTTACGACAGTGCTGCCTGGGCTAGTCCTGAAAATATTTCTTGCTTACTTGGCCAAGCCCATGGACCTTAACATGCGACCTGAACGCAGCTTGGAACTAGGAACCCGCCGAAAGCGGGCCTAGGCCTGTTGACAGGCCTAGACAAAAAGAAAAAAAAGAAGAGAACGGCATAACTCAAAGTTAATATTGTTAAGGCATTAGGTCATATTCGCCTGATGAGAGGATCCATATCTCAAACACGTTGTCATGAAGAAAAACGTTTTTATCTTAACCTGAAAAGCATTCCTACAACCATTCATCCAGACCCAAAAAATTGGTGAAATAAACTCATAAAAAATTTGTTTAAGAACAAAATTGTCAGTTTTATGTACAAATACAAGAGGTGGTTCAGCTGTCCTCTAAATTGAGACTTTGGGGTTGTATTTCAGTTGACAACCGTCCCTCAAAAGCCATGGAGAATCACAGGCTGAGAGACTCCTTGATGAAGGACTAGGGCAGGATGAGGGCCTCTGCAACATGCCATGGAAACCAATGCCTTCTCCACCTCCTTTGATGCGGTCTTGTTCAACAAGGAGATTGTACTCCATCACAAATGACTCGCAAGGCACAATTAGAGGGCGGCAACCTGTGAATCCAAACTCTTCTTCAGCCACCAAAAGCAACTCCCGAAAGATGGTATGGTTAAGAAAGGCTAAGGGAATCACAAATCAGCTTCTATCTACTGTATAAATCACAAAATGACCCTCAACAGCAGCTGAATCCATTTGATTACTAGTATTTCTTTTGAGGGATATTCCCCTCCTGTGCTCTATGGCTTTTTTCTGCCATTTGCGCGCCATCTCCAAGAGCCTCTTTGAATTGATCATGGCTGGATACATAGTTTAGAGGAACTTAGTTTTCGTTTCTTGGGTAAGCAGGGGAACTGAAAAGAAGAGGAGAAGATGAGAATTGAAGAGTTTGTGGCGCAAGAATGAGCTTGTGGTGGTGTTAAGGGGAGGTGATGAGCTCAGTCTTATATTGAAGTGGAGAGAGAGAGCCATTGTTGCTGGGTTACTAGGAATGAAATAGCACGTGATGAGTGTTTGGAGTTAGTTGAGTCATAGCCTCTCATGGGCCACACTGAATTGACCCACATGGATGAGAGGCTTGCTTCACATATTGTTTCAACAAAAGCAAGTGGTTTGGTTTTGAAATAATGGGATATAAAACAAAGCCTCATGGGATGTTACCAAACTGCCTTAGCATATACAAATAGCTTTGAATAATGGTCCCCAACCATCTCTCAGTCCTATACAGTGTTGTTAAGTTTGGGTTGAATAATTATGGGCCCCAATTTGCCAATTAAATAGAAAAAAACATATTTCATGTGCCAACGCACTCCTTGCTACCAGCATGCACTATCACATTTATTTTTATTGTCTCTCATAACTCCTATTTCTCTAGCCATTTTGTGGACACAATGCATGACCCAAAATGCTATATAAAACCTATTGTATCCATTTCACTGCGCCATCATCAGTAATCTTCTCTCCTCTCCTCCTTATATTCAAAGTTCAGTTTCCAATTCAATTCATCATCACCTAGAATCTTCTCTCCTCTCCTCTCCTCCTTATATTCAAAGTTCAGTCCCCAATTCAATTCATCATCACCTAGAATCTTCTCTCCTCTATTTCAAGTGCACGTTTGGTTGGTGCGTAAATATTTTTCTCAGAAAAAATATTTTCATATGTAAACATTTTACAGTAAATATTTGTGCAAAATTTATTTTCACTATGTTTGTTAACACGTTTAAAAGCATTGTGTAATTACATATGTTTGATAACTTGTTTGATATTTAAATACATTTTGTAAATATATTAAAACTATACATGTAATATTTAAATATTATAAATAAAAACATATAGTTATATTTATTTAAATACTATTTGAATATTATTAAAATATTATATATTAAATATTATTTTTATATTAAATACAAAATTTTATTTAATATATATTGTGTTGTAAATATCTATTACATAATTACATATATTATAGGGCTATGTAATAGCTATTTACAACACAATGTACATTATATAAAATTTTATATTTAATATAAAATAATATTTAAATATTACATGCACAGATTTAATATATTTACAAAATATATTTAAAGGGCTATGTTATGGTGCTTACACTATAGAATATTTTATAATTGTACTCAACAAATTTTGAACACTTATATATCCATGTTTTATCATACAACATGGTTTTAATAAGAGTATTTTTTGCGCGACATCATCCAAATAGGTGAGACATCACCCAAATGGAGCACACTAGTGGCATTTAATGCTCCATATTATCTAATATATATTATTTAGTAGCATTTATATATGTTATTTGTTTATAAATAAAGTATTATATAACATATATATTATATTGTAGATAGTGAATAGTAGGTCCATGTGTTAAAATAAAAGCACAGAGAATGTTTTCCCACCTCAAGAGATATGGTTTATTTTTACCATGAATTAGACCATTTCATCGTAAAATATTTTGGGAAAAGTTTATATACTTCCCCTACAGCACAGAAGATTTATGCTTCCCCTACCATCCAATTTTGATCAAGAGAGCCAATCATCGTTTGATCTTAGATTCGACTTCTCAAAGTATTTTGGTTTTAGCTTTTTTTTTTTTTTTTTGTACAAATTGTATGACTATGAAATTTGGTACGTGCCATATTCTCATGGGGCGCACATATAAAAAAAAATTAAAAATAACTTTTTGATAAAATATAATTATCAAAATACCTTTTGAAACTTTTAGGGGTATTTTGGTCATTTTATTTTATTGGAAATATTTTTTAAATATTTTTTGCTAATACGAGTTTAATAGAGGATTGGACGTACAAAATTTGCTATCAAAATAGTTTATAGAAAAAAATAAGAATAAAATAGTGTAAAAACGTGACATTGTGATTGGGGTAATCTTAGCCCTCCATTCAGAATGAACGAATAAACCGAAGTATATAAGTTTTATGTTATGGAGGAAGCATAGAGAGCTTCCCCCAAATATTTTATGAGGATATTCTTACATAGCCACTACACACTAAACAAACATATTAAACGCAATTTTCACACGAAAAATGTTTTCAATAAAATATTTATGCATGAACTAAACATGCCCTTACACATTGTCTACCTGTGGGAACCCATCTCTCTCAACCAAAAACCACCAAATCCCGCTCTTTTTTTCTCTTTAAAACCATACCTATTGTTTCTCTTTCTTAAATTCCATATCCCCATCCTGCAAAATCGTTCTCAAATAGCCATTTATTGCTCTTTTGTAAGCTCTAATATTTTTTTTTGATAACATTTTGATTCCAAGTTTCTTTTTTTTTTAAATGCATTTTGATTCCAAGGAGAGTGAAGGGGAGAGCTAGGGTATAAAAGGTAAGTGAAATACACACCTAGGAGGGAAAAGAGAGTCTTTGGTTGTGAGGACCTTCTTCCTTGACTTTCTCTTTCCACGAAACAATATGAATGTAATCAAAATTTATTTCTTAAATTTCTCTCTTTAAGATGAATGATTGCTTGAGTTTCTCTCTAAGATGAAAAATTTGAACACTATCATAAATTGCTTTTTTCTGCCCCTTTCTCTCTCTATCAAGTTAGAAAGATAAACGTAAATCCAAGAGAGATGTTTTGCAGAGAGATTTGACCTGAAACCAGCTGAACCTGTTAATTTGTTATTGTTACGTACATGTGAAATTCGCAATGAAACAATCCCAGCCATCCATGTAGATTCGGATCTATATAAAAGATATAGGAGTGGGGACGTATCGGGCCAACCCTTATTGGAGTTCAACATGGGCCCAAAAAAATGTAGTTTTGTGCTTGACCAAGTCAAGCTCAACATGAGAGCGAGGCCCAAGACGGGACAAAAATTCAGGCCGGGCCGTATATAAATCTTAAAATAAAGTTTAATATATACCTAATATGTGTTTTAAAAAATCAGTCTAAGCCAGTGCTGCCCGGGCAAGTCCTAAAAATATTTCGGGTTTACTAAACCATGTCCATGGGCCTAATCCCGTTGACAGCCTTAAACTGAAAAAGGGAATAAAGAAAATCGCATAATGATATGGTTAAGACATTTGGTCATATTCGCTTAGTGAGAAGATCCATATCTGAAACAATGTTGTCATGAAGAAAAACCTTTTATCTTGATATGAAAAGCTTTACTACAACCATTCCCAAAAAATTGGTGAAATAAATTCATAAAAAATTTCTATAAGAACAAAATTGTAAGTTTTGTGTACAAATACAAGAGGTGGTTTAGTCGCCCATTCAAATTGAGACTTTGAGGTTGGATTTCAGTTAACAACCATGCCTCAAAACCCATGGAAAATCATAGGCTGAGAGACTGCTTGATGAAGGACTAGAGACGGATGTGAGGCTCTGCAACATGCCATGGAAACCAACGCCTTGTCAAACTCCTTTGATGCATTCTTGTTCAACAAGGAGACTATGTACTCCATCACAAATGACTCGCAAGGCACAATTAGAGGGCGGCATCCTGTGAATCCAAACTCTTCTTCAGCCACCAAAAGCAACTCCTGAAAGATGGGGCGGTTAAGAAAGGCTAAGGGAATCACAAATCGGCTTCCATCTACTGTATAAATCACAAAATGACCCTCAACAGCGACTGAATCCATTCGATTACTAGTACTCCTTTTGAGGGATATTCTCCTCCTCTGACTCATGGCTTTTTTCTGCCATTTGCGCGCTATCTCCAAGAACCTCTTTGAATTGATCATGGCTGAATACAAAGTTTAGAGGAACTTAGTATTCGTTTCTTGGGTAAAATGGGGAACTGAAAAGAAGAGAAGAGAAGAGAAGATGAGAATTGAAGAGTATGTGGTGCAAGAATGAGCTTGTGGTGGTGTGAAAGGGAGGTGATGAGCTCAGTCTTATATTGAAATGTGCAGAGAGAGAGAGAGAGAGCCATTGTTGTTGGGTTACAATGAGTGCAATAGCACATGAGTCTTTGAGTCCATGTTTGGAGATAGTTGAGTCATCACCTCTCCATTACCTCTCATGGGCCACACTCAACTGACCTACAAGGATGAGAGGCTTGCTTGAGCTTTTTCACATATTGTTTCAACTAAAGCAAGTGGTTTGGTTTTGAAATAATGGGACATAAACAAAGCCTCATGGGATGTTGCCAAACTGCCTTAGAATATACACATAACTTTGAATAGTGATCCCCAACATTCTCTCAGTAGTTGTTAAGTTTGGGTTGAATACTTATGGCCCCAATTTGCCAATTGATATAGAAAACAATATATTACATGTGCCAATGCACTCCTTGCAACCAGCAAGTACCATCATATTTGGTTTTTTTGTCTGTCTCATAACTCCTTTTTCTCTAGCCATTTTGTGGCCACAATGCATGCCTCAAAATGGTGTATAAAATCTATCGCCTCCATTGCATTGAACCATCATTAGTAATCTTCTCTCCTCTCCTCCTCATAATTCAAAGTTCAGTCTCCAATTCCTTTCACCATCACCTGTTGTCTTTTCTCCTCTCCTCCCTATATTCAAAGTTCAGTTTGTCTAAACCCTTTACTCAAAACATGATGCACTCAAAGAGGATCATGGAGACTGCTCGCAAATGGAAGAAGCATGCGATGAGACAAAGGGTGAGAATCTCCCTCAAAGCAACTACTTCTGAGAAAGTTGGGTTAGTCGCCGATGAGGGTCACTTTATCATTTACACGACAGATAGAAGCCACTTCGTGATTCCTTTGGCTTATCTTAACCAACCCATCTTTGGAGAGTTACTCTTCATGGCTGAAGAAGAGTTCGGTGGCAGAATAAAAAACAGGGCATGTACTAAATAGTGAGTGGTGAAAACTCCTCTAAAGTGTGTGTGCCTTTGTGTGTGTGAGTGCACCCTACAATACCCTCTATATGGTTAAGATGTTTAGCCTGCTAGAATTTTTTTATGTTTGATGCACCTAACCCATGATGGGAAGACCTGTTTAATGAGGGGAACTTCATGCATCACAGAAAAATAAAATTATTGGTAAGCTCAAGGGCATCAATTAATTGTGGAAAAGTTTTATGTGAGTCAGTAGACGCAAGAGCCCGCTGACCCTATAAAGCATTAGACCATATGGACGTTGCAAAAAAAATTCCCCCAGTAGAAGTAAATTTTTAATTTTTAAAATTAGTTTTTTTTTATATTCATTATCACCTTGGCCTAGAAACATGGATGACAATACAGACTGTGCAGGTTTCCTGGTTTGCCATCCAAGTATTGCATGGAACATTAATAATTTGAGTGCCTCCATTTGCGGGGAGGCACTCTATTAAATTTAGTCATGTTGTTTTTCATTTTTTTAAAAAAAAATTATGACGATTGAGGTCAGATGCTTTCATATATTGTGTAATTAGTTTACAATGGTGTGTTCAAAAATGACTTGTCCGGGGGGGGGGTGAGGAATATCTATGTCAAGTTCCCAAGAATTTCTTCTTTTGTTTTGTTCTTTTCTGATTAATTTAATCCCTGCAGAAAATTGCAATGTAGAAATATATGTGGTTTCCCCTCTCTCAGGGTGTGCGCCCTTTGCGTGGTCGTATATATCCTTTTTCCTTATCTTATACTTTGAATTATCATGTTGTGTTCCTGCCCTTTGTTTCTGTTTTATTATCCATATCTGTATCTAGGCATTTTAGCATGTATGTTTGCATGCAAAGGATATACATAACTTGTTCTTAACTTGTTGATTAAGTCAATTTTAAACTCCATTTAAGAAATGGCACAGAAACGGAAAAAGTTGATTGAGATGATTCCAAGAGATCCAAGTCAACCCGATTTTTTTAAGAGAAACTCTAAGCTGAATTTGACATTGCGAGCTTCCTGCATAATTGAAGTGTTTATTTCACCATGGTGGTGGTCTAGTGGTGTGTACACATTGATGTGAAAAGCCATGCATGATTTTGCACCTTTGACACCATACCATGGCAGACTTCTATGCTTCCTTAAAGAATCGCAGTTGGATGTACTTTTCTTTTCTCTGTGTCCATCTAAGATCATTACACTTGTAGTGAAAAGTCCCAACTACCCATCAGTAGTTGAATGTTTTTATGCCTAATTTACACAAACAACTCCACCCATTGAGTGGGGAAGAATCCCTTGTAAGTGTCCAGCGTGTTCCACTTTCCCTTCCCTATGTACACTAGAAGCGACCTTGAAGGGTATCCACCAAATCATGGATTATATCATGGATGCTGACCCCAGTATTGGGGCATCACGCTAACCACCAAATATGGTGCAATCACCTTGGGCTCTTCTTAATAACACTCCAGAAGTTCGAAACGCCCCCATGCAACCTGCATTCTTTGAGAACAGGCCAAGTTTCAGCAGGAGTGTCGTCCATAAGCCCCATCGATGATGTTAACAAAGGAAAACATATATAATATAAGATGTTATAATGCTTAGCCAAAAGAATAGGATGTGGAGTTGAAATGCTACAGAGCTCCTACCTAGCTTTACCACTTTGTACAGTTAATCCCCCAAAGTCCTCTTGGGATGGAGTCGTAGAAAGGGTGGCCAGGAAATCAGACTCTTCGAAGACTGGATTCTTGTCATCGGGGATAGAATTGCACTGACAAAAGCATGTCTCTCAAATCTACATATCTATCTTTACTCCCAATGCCAATGTCCGTAATTAGGGAATTGGAGAAACAGATGAGGCACTTTTGTGGAATGGGTGGAAGTTAAAAAAGAAATAATCATCTGGTTAAGTGGGACATAGTGTGCTCTCCAAAGAACAGGGGTGGGTTAGGATCTTGAAAACTTAAATAAATAACCAAGCTCTGTTAGGGAAGTGGTGGTGGAGACTAGGAGATCCAACAGACCAACTTTGATAGAAGCTGATAATACATAAATATGAGAAGGATGATGATGGGTGGCTGGTCAAGAAGTAAAAATAATAATAGGCAGCTGTAGGGCATTACGTATAACAAAACATTGGTTGGCAATGGATGGAGAACCAGATTTTGGGGAGGATAGTTTGCTGAATAAGGGGCACTAAACAAGAGATATCCAACACTATATGTCATTGTGATCTATCGTAAGAAACATTGGCTGAAGTAATTCGTGGCTGGGGAAGAGAAGCAGTCTGGTTGATGAGGCGTAGAAGATATCTTAAAGATAATGCCTTGAAGTTTTTTTGGGACTTTTCAGGATATCCAAGACTTCTACGATGGGCCAGAAAAGGACTACAGGTTAATATGGAGGGGTAGCACCTCAGATATATTCTCAGTTAAATCTTTTACAAACTTCTATCCCTCCACCAGGAATCACCCACAGTAGAGTCTAAAGTTTGGATTCAAGCACTCAGATGGTTAATTTTATTGAACAAAGGCCTAACTGTTGACCACCTGATCAGCTGAGTTATGATCCTTACCAATAGATCTCTTATGTCCAAGAATGAAGCCGAGAATGTCAACCATCTGTTTCTTCATTGTGAAATTGGTGGAAAAATATGGGAACATCTCCTAACACTTCCAAATTCAATGGCTTATCTTGGGCTCGATCCATTATCTGATGAAGCAGTAGATGGCACCACCTTCACCTAAAAGATGGCTGCTTCTATGGAAAAGGTGCATTCTCGTGACTCCGTGGATTATTTATTTGGAATGAGAAAAAAAGAGATTTCATGGAATGAGGTGTTTAAGAGACAGTGTTGGAGCCATGGTTATATTATGGGCTCTAGCCTGAGAAGGGTTTCAGGGAATCTCATTGGATTAAAAGTAAATGGCATCTAATTGCAAGTAGTCCACGAATATTAACAAAAGATATATTGAAGGCATGCTACCAAAAGTAAGGACGGATGAAACTCAATTTGTTTTTTGAAGATGTTAACTGTATTGTATTAATAGTAAGAAGTTACAAGCAACCAGTAAATAGACTACCCATTACAACTGGGAGCCCTATACAGAAGCCCACATGGGCCCAAAAAATCCCAGGAGAAAATTTTACAAAAAACACAAGAGGGAGACAGAGTGAAGGGTTCAGTAGCTCAAAGAAGTGGCTGGAAACCCCTCTGAAGGGTTGCTGGAAGCTCCCTCCCTAGCAAGGAGGTCTGCTTCAGCATTTGCTTCTCTCCATACTAGCCTCCACGAGGTAAGAAGCGAGTTAGAGATATGTAAAATTTAGTCGAGGAGATGGGCTAGATGCCATGGGCAGGGGGACTGAGGCTGAGGCTGAGGCTGAGACCCAGGTTATGGTGTTCTTAGAGTCGCCTTTAGATGAAACTCAATTTTGATGTTAGTTTTCAAGATAATCTAGGATTGGTAGGCTTGTGAGGCGGAGGCAAGGGTCCTGCTCTTGGACCTGCAAAGCCTGAGACTAGAACAGAGCAGGCTTGACATAGAAGACGACTCAGACAATGTCATCTCGTGGGTAAAGAAGAGAGCAGGCTTGACATAGAAGCCGACTCAAACAATGTCATCTTGTCAAAGAAGGAAACAATGTCATCTTGTGGGAAAAGAAGGAAATAACTCCCCCTTGGAGGCCGGCGTGCAATTTTTTTTACAAGATTTTTTGAATAATTAGTGGCATTTTGGCCACCTCCATTTCTCATGGACGGAAGCAAATGCAATTGCCATCCATTTGGCTCATGATTCAAAGTCTTATTTTTGTAACCATCTGTGTATGCCAGTAGTAGTGGGCAAATTTGGTGAAGATATACTTCAAAAATTATTTACAGTAACAAAATTTCATTAATGATCAATTAAAAGAAAAAATAGACGCAAGTATTTTATACCTATGGTCGCGAAAGACTCTCTCTCTTTGAGCAGACAATCACCATTCAAACTACAACCAAGAATATGTTCTTCAGGTAGGTCGTAGAGGGATTTATACCTGGGACGTGGCGTTGCAGTTGCCAACATCTTATCCATCGAGCCAGGTTACAATCGTGTTAGATTGACATATTTACTCTTGCCTCTTCCCTCAAAAACAGTGTTTTGGAAATCGACTAAGGCCGGATATTCGCCACTGGCCGGAGCCGAGTTACTCTGGTGAGTTCGAGTGGGACTTGCCCAAAAGCCATATATCATAAGAAAATCAGAAAAAATAAATAAGAAAATTTGAGATTGACATAAAAGATTATTTTTTTCCAAAAAAGATGCTTGTTGGCATGGAAAATAACTTTTTCTCAAAAAAACCACAAAATTTCAAGCCCAAAATATCATTTTACAGCACCATTAATCAAACAAATCATCATGGGGTTATTGAAGACGGTTGAATCAAGATCAAATGGAACCAATAATCAACAAATTTGGGCAAAAAATGATGGTGGAATCGGTAGAATGGCAGATCCTCGGATATTATGCATCAGACCATTTTATATGCAATTTATATAAACTTGCTGGATTCATCGTGACCCAGGCAATAAAATTTGATCAATCCCATTTGACTTATATCTAGCTTTTGTGGGACTACGCATTGATATTGAGTAGGGCATCTAAAGGGTGTTCTTAATCTAGGGATATGTTTCCACTTGATTGGTGGGAACTTCTTTGGTATTGACGAGTTGTGTGAGGCCTCAATGTCCATGCGAAGCGTTGCACATGGGAAGAATTGAAGTTGAGCTTAAGTTCTATGTAATGATCTTTGGTACCACGAATTCTATAGGAAGAGTTTTAGAAAGTGAGCCTTATGAGATGATTTCTTTTGCTTGGTGTATACAAGTGCACTTCAAGTGATACATCTATCATTCCACAATTTTGTAATTAAAACTTATAGGGTGGGAGGGAGTGGAGTTCTCCTTTAGGGTTTTAACATCACCAGGTTGTTCTCTAAGTAGAGGTTTTAGGAAAGGGTTCATATACATTGTGTTCAGTGAAATTACTATGGCGAAAAATCACCCCAGCTATCCGTAGTTGACATCTAATGTCTGGGGTGATGTGTTTTTTCCTGCGGTTTCTAACTGAGCTTATCGCATACAAGTTTTAGGAAGTGACCTGCATGACCTTATCTCATTTTATAGGTGTTTATGAGTTCAAGACAAAGTTGTAACAAACTGAAGCATCCGCGATTTCAAAATTTTGTAATTTGAGATTTAAAGAGTGGGAGAGAGGGCCTTTCACCTGAAGAGTTTTTTCTTTTTAAAACCATCATGTTGTCGTCTGAGTAGAGGTTTTAGGAAAAGTTATGTATGTAATACATGCAGTGAACTTATTTGTAGCAAAAACCACATCATCCCAACTGGATGGCAGTGGTGTGTCATTCCACTGCAGCCGTCTTTGGTTGACATCTAATGGGTGAGGTGATGAGCCGATTTTTAGCTGAGGAACAGCAACCCCCAGCCGTCTTTGGTTGGCATTTGACAGCTGGGGTGAAGAGGTTTCTCCTACAGTTTTTAACAGCACTTGTTTGATACATTTGATGGACTGAGTGGAGGAATGAACATGCCTCAGCCTTCCTTGGTCAACAATTGATGTCGGGCGCAATGTGTTTTCTCCTAATGTTTTTAGCCATTTGATATTTTCCCTTTAGGAAAATTAGCCTCAAGAGGTTATTTCACTCTACAACTTCGCATTTGAGATTTTGAGTTCATGACCAAGCGACAACATATGAGTTCATGACCAAGAGACCACATACTTAGGCAAGTATACAACCATAATTTACAAAGTTGTGAGTTGTGTATGCATATATGCATGCGTCTATATGCATATGGAGATAGCATTTTATTTATCGCCATGGAATCTTCTTGCGGCATTCATTGTTATAGCCACATGAAATTCTTAATTGATATTCAGACCTATTGGTGTACTGATTTCATTTTTAAGCATTCAAACATCTCATTTGTATACATCAAGTTGAGTATGCTCTCGTCCTGTTGTCCGAGATAATATAACTATCTCTGTTTTTAATTGCATACTTGTCTTGAATGTTTCTTTACAATTCAGATAAGTGGGTGATCTGCATGAAATTGTTGTTGTCCCCACTAGTCCAGAATTTTTTTTGGTCGAGTTGTGAAACACTTGGCCGCAGTAAAACTTGAAAGAATAAATCATAAATGCTTTAGCCAAATATGGGTTCTCCGACTTAATTGCATGTTAACAAAGTATGGAAATAGGAGTTAGGAAGACATTGCATTGGTTAATTACTGCTCCCAAATATATGGACATCATCTGGTTTTCTGTTGCAGATTATCACATTTCTGCAGTTTGGGGGATACACTTTAGTGAGGAACTCAAAGGATCTCTTCCTCAGTTTCGGGTTTAAAACACAACCAGTGCTGATTGGGCTATCATTTTTCAGGTTTCCTTCTTTAAACCTATTTAATTTCTGGTAATTTTTATGTTCCTATGGTATGCGTGGTTTTATTGATTTTCACGTATGGTGAGTAGTGTGGGTTGACTTAGCACTTGTTGACCATACTATTTATTGCTTTGTTTGGAAGTCGACATTGAAAGGAAAATGAATACATCAAGTTGCATCTAAGGATACATCTGTTGACTGTACAGTGTACACGTGATAAATTTAAAATGTTAAAATACATTTAGTCGATAATACTCTGTCCATGTATGTTAAAATGACACTAAGATGTATGTTACCTTGAATGTTGCCAACCAAACCTGGTGCAATTCATATGGAAAAGTCCCCTATCAGATTGCATTTCTGCATTGCTTTCATTTCTGCTGAAGTCAACTTCCTTACAGCATACCGTCATACCCCTGCAGCATCTCGTAAGCTTCGGCCTTAATCTTGTTAGTCGAGCCTTCGAATTTCAGGTTTACAAAGTCCTCTGTTCATTTTGTGAATACGTTTATCTTACATTTGAGCTTTTTTCATATATGGATTCACGCATTTGATGAATAAATATTCATTTACTTTTTAACTATCTACTTTTTACCTAAATTCTTTTTCAGGCTGATGCTTTCGCGAAGAAGCTCGCATGTAGCACTCCTCTAAGAGCTGCACTCATAAAACTGCAGGTGATTCTCTCTGCTAAATGCGCATTTGAAGCTGTACCTTTCATTTCCTTTTCATAGTACGTGACAAGAACCTACTGGTCAAAAAAATAAAAAACCTGACATGAACTTAATGACCCACAGGAAGAAAACCTCTCGGCCATGAACACAGACCCTTGGTATTCAGCCTACCACTATTCTCATCCTCCTCTAGTCGAAAGGCTTGCAGCACTCGATATCACAGACAAGAAAGACAGCTAGTGAATCTCACAACTCACAGTTAAAGCAACCACAAATGAATACTGGAGAAAGTTCTGGCTGTTGGCATTTCCATCGATGCCTTGTGGGTATACAAGCAGCTGAAACCTCGTGACATTGTAATGAATAGGTACTTGGTGCATCTGTTGTATCATTTTAATCTTATACAAAAGATTATGACTTCCATAAGACTGAAAATAGTAAGAAATTTAGGTCTAATATCAGGATCACAGAGTCTAGAGCAATGGGGGGAAGTAGTTGACCAATTTACTGGTTTCAAGTCTCGAGTGGAGCCTATGGTTCGTTGTTCAAAATTTTAGAATGTCAAATCCTGTAATGGCGCTGAATAGCATGTTTCCATTGGCCAAGCTACTGAGTTCTGCTTAAGAACAAAAGTTAATTTGTTTTCTTGTTTCCTTTAGAAAGAAAGCGTAATGGGTTGTAACGTTTTAGTTTGTCCGGTACATGGTATTAAGTAATGAATGCGTGCTGTACTTAAAGAGTATGGCGTGGGTGCTTTTGCACAGTTGTTGTCATGCTCCTCCAATTTAAGGGAAACTGCTCTCCCTCCTTTGTACTCTCCCCCATTCTATCCTCGGCGAACTTTCCATTTCTTCCCTCTAGAACATAGTAACCAACCTCAAATAATAATAATAATAATAATAATAATCATAATAATAATAATAATAAAGAATAAAGAATAAGAAGAAAAAAACCACACTTTACATGTGTAAAAAAAAATCGCATCCCAAGATTGAATAGGAGTTGTTCAACTTTTGGAAGGAAATATTTAGATGTTAAGTTTATATTCTTTTTTTTGTTTATAAAAAGAAAAATCTGATGGTACTTGGATCTCAAACTTCCAAGAAAATCCTCCCACAGGAACCATGTTGCCCTGAGGAGCTTTTTTATGGTATGCGCCTGCAAGTGCTTGATAAAGAAATTGGTTTGAAAGGGAATGCTCAAGACCACAAACCTGAGAAAATAGGAGAAAACGACTTCCCAGCTGTTCTGCTTTCCCAAGGAGACATTGGAAAGCAATTTGAGCAACAGAAATATCCCTCCAAAAGGATTTTCCCACCAGCAGATTTTGCCCTGGAGCGCAACACCAACTTTTAACCTTTATTTTCTACAAGACCCCTCCTCTTTAACATATTATTATTGGGGTTCTACATTAGAAGACAATTTATCTTTCATAAAAGGAGGTTACTGCTACTACTAGCAATTAAATAACAAATTGAATTACTAATGATGGTGTCACAAAGTTCAAGATTTTATTTTTATTTGTTTTTTGACCTTCGAGTCAAGTCTGCCTCCCGATTTGAAGTTTGAAGAAAAAGATCGATTGTGACCTCCTATGTTAAACATAACTATCGATTATTATTCCGGTGCAGTTTGTATAAGATGTCAACCTTAAAGATTCAAAGAAAGGGCAATTCTAAACCGTTTTTAGAAGATACAATTTTTGGCGTTGGAAAATCTTAGGAAGTCCGAAAAATTTATTTTCACCTTCACTTATAAAATTTAACTCTAAAAATAGGGTAAATTTAACATATATTTATTACCACTTGAAGATCCTAGAAATGGACAATCCAGATGATGTATTATAAAATAAAACTATTTTTAGTGCTTTAAACTCTCTCTCTTTTTTTCCCTTATATACCCATACATATTGAAATTGCGACAACCAATTGGAAGTTTTCCCAGCATCATAACAACCTCTTTCAATGAATTTTCAAACCATCCCTTGCTTCTACACTGTTGAGACCTTAAATTTTTTCCTTGGAGATAAAAGTTTTGCAAATGTACAATATTAACCCACCCTTCCTACTCAAACCTTCTATCATAATTTCCGTTTAAGCTAGCCATGGAAAGCATAGTGGTAAGGCCTTTTCTGCTTTCAAATTTGTTCAAGAGAACATCTGTACTATGTATCAATTACGCCTCTCTCTCTCTCTCTACCCTCTGTCTCTCTTGTGTGTTCTCAGATGCGCATGCTTTTACTAATAGCTTCAGCTGGTTTACCTTACAATACAAAAGACATGCTCTTTGTTGCAATCACCAAATCACATGGCACATCATAGTTTCTGTAGCTCAAAACTTAGTCCCCTGTGTGTGGGGGATGGCGGCAAAACCAGCCATACAAGTCCAAAGTCCCCTGTGTGTGGGGCCATTTTCTTCCCAGCACAGCACCCATTTTAGCTGGTTTCATTTTTCTCGAGAGCTACAAAAAGAACAAACAACATATAAATATGAGATTTAAGAAAACACGAAATTGGGGCGATTGGAATGAGACTTACTGTTGTAGTTCAAGAGCTTTTCAATGAGGTCGACATGAGTCATCAGCATGCGCCGGCAGCAGTAGCGAACCAGGCCCAGTGCATCAAGAGCATCACTGTGGATCAAAGAACCACCACAACTAAAACATCGTTAAGAATTTCTATTCAGCTAAGCTCCGTGAAAGATTAACTGTCAGAGAACACAAAGAAAAGGTTTCCTGAAAAATATTAAGACCATCGCAATGTAAGTATATGTTCTATCTCAAGAGAACTCCCTAATACATCTTAGATGCGCTGTTACAATATGTTCTATCCAAAGCATCGACTAAAATACCTGATTTCCAACAAATACAACCACAACTCATAATATCTACCCTGGATTACATGCAAGTATGTATCTGTGTGCATGGGTGTGTAAATTATGAATAACAAGGCTTAGCTACATGCTCGCTCAAATATAAGTCACGTGTAGATTCTAGCTTATAGTTGGTCAAGTCAAATGCCAGTGAACTATGGACACACTGGTTCGGTTACAGCAGAAGACAGCTCCAAGATGCCATGGCCATCGTATCTTGAGTAGGGATAAATATCAACAACAGGTTTCAGTTTGAGGATTCCTTTTTCATTTTATTTTTTGAATCTGTTAACTTTGCATTACAGTAAAAGAGGTATTACAGTATACAAAATATGCTGCCCTGGAAGGGCAGAAAATGGCCAGCACCAAGATGGATGGAAAAATGTTATACGGGCAAATTGTACAACAGATTCAAAAAAGTACTTTTGACGTTTAATAGCAAGATTTCATATCATGAATTTGATCAAACATTGAAGATCCAGCAGAAAATTATGGTCAAGTAATGAATTAGGCCCCAACTGGATGCACCAATAAGCCGCCTACATTGTGGGCTTATGGTGCAGCAGCCTATCATGAATGAAGGCAAAATGACTTTTATAAGAATGGCACCATCACTAATACATAGCATTTTGTGCATGAAAATTGGCACACACTGTATCTAATAGCAGCAATAATCTTGGCATCAAACGGTGTGCATGTATAAGCCGGCACTTGTACATGCATCCAGAGTCCAGACAGGGCCTAAGTCACATAATGCCTGCTTTTGATCAATTTCTTTACAATGCACTCTTGAAATAACAATGCGAAACTTAAAAAGTTATTACATAGCCAATTAGCCTTCATTGACACAAGGAGATCATAAAAGACTTATCCTTCCTCGAAACATGGAACCTCCATTCTAATTATATGAATCTCATGACTGGCATGAGGATTCTGGATGACTCACCTAGCATATTTTCACTATTCTAGGATAAATATAACATAATATTGTTTTGATAAAGATAACATAATATTAAAATTTAAGGAACATCTCTGAGCTGAACAAAAGCACAATGAAACTATTGAAGGTACCAAATCTGAAGTCCGCAGGTCAATTTTCATTCTGCGTGATAATTTAGCAGGATATCACAAATTGAGTAAACCTGTTTTTTTAGGACAGACACCTAAAATACTTACTTCAGAACTAAATCAGGATTGTGCTAGAGAACCAAAACCTTAGAGCAAAGAGCATGGCAAACAAGAATATGGATGGTGGTGACACAAAGTGTTGATTTTTCTTTCTTATAATCAATAAGTAGCCAAACACCAAGGGGTTGATTTTACTAAGCCAGAAATGATGAGATGGGACTTTATCCCTAAAAGGAGTCTTTCAAGCCAATGTCAGTTGATTCCTAATCCATTGGGAATAATCAGTTATACATTGGGAAAGGCCCAGAACACTTGGTGTTTCCTGGCTAAAAATAAAAAGAGATATACAGGAGCTTTAAAACTTTTAGTTCTTGAAACATACCGCAGACTAAGGAATGACAAGTCAATGGCAGTGCAAGGGAGATCTCATCATACTTGTTGGGATCGGGACTGGCATCAGTAGAACTGGGATAGAGAGCGGGTGATCGTGATAGGCTAGAAGCACCCTATGGCTGGAATTGTTGTCCGTACACCCTGGACTTCAAGGATCTCGAGTTGGGGAGCTTGCGGTAACAGTATCACTTTTCTCTCTGATACATATATAGAACATGATTTTGCAGCATAGCTGCTTTCCTTTCCAATGGATATGCATTTTAGACTTGTTTCCTTATAAAAGATCAATCTAACATGCATGTGATTTACATCAAATATCAATAGATCCCCGAGTTACTCGAATCGTGTTCCCCCCAGATAGAAGCAGGATCCACCCAAGATTTAACTCCACGAGTGTGGGACCACCGGGATGGCCACCTAGTTGGGAGATCCCGGTAGCTATGGATTTCATTCCTAAAATAAGCCTTTCACACCAATGTCGGTTGATTCAAACGTTTTACTTGTCTCATATAATCTTTATGCGACCCAGCAATCAACAGGGAATAACAACATTACATACTAATATTCATGAAGCAGCGAGCAGACTAATTTTGTGTTTCTATCTAAAATTATGAAGAGATAACATAATCCTGAAGTAGTGGGCAGACTAATTTCATGTTTCAATTCTAAGCATGAAGGAAGCGAAGCAGCTTTAAGACCCCTCACAGAAAGGAAGTAATAAACAAGGGAACTCAGCGCAATGCTCAGACTTCCCAGTGGGTCATGAATGATGCCAGGGAAATAAATGGCACCTTCATGCTACTGATTCCCAAGTCTCAAACGATGTCAGGAATCAGAAATTCAGGGCCGATAGCTTCACAATTGGTTTTTATCATTGCCACCAGGGTATTAGCATTAAATAAAGGAAGCAATTTGTGTTTCAACCCAAGCGAACCATATTCAGAGATTTTTTTCTATCAGTATGATGTAGAAAGCATCAAATCTTGAAGGAGCAATCACCTCGTGAATCTGTGGAACATGACCGAAGGGACTAGCAAGTCAGATAAAAGGATTGTTCTTAATCT